GGGTTTTTTTCCTTTTCTTTTCTCTTTTTTGGGGGGAAGAGGGACAGAAAAGAAATTTTATTAATTTATTTTTAATTTTATTTTATACTGAAGTATCATTGATAAACAATGTTGTGTTAGTTTCAGGTGCATAGCAAAGTGATTGGTTACACATATACAGGTATCTATTCTTTTCCAAATTCGTTTCCCATTTAGATTATTACAGAATATTGAGCAGAGTTCCCTGTGCTATCAAAAAGTCTACAGACAATAAATGCTGGAGACGGTGTGGAGAAAACAGAGCTCTCCTACACTGCTGGTGGGAATGTAAACTGGAGCAGCCACTAATGGAAAAGAGTATGGAGATTTCCTACTTTTTTTTTTTTAATTTTTTATCAGGGGTATGTGAAACCAGTGACAATTCATTAGTGGAGGAAAAGGGTATATTCTTCATTATTTGAGGTAAATCTCTTTCAGGAAAAACAATGAAAGTTTACAAATAAACATGTCAGACTGTAAAAAGAGAATGGGAAATAAAACAGAAATTATGGTTTTAAGGACATCAAAAATAATTCAATTACTTCACATGCTTTAAGAGTTGGTTCTTATTTATTACCTGTGAATTCAAATGTTCTTAACATTTTTTTTCTTGATTTGGTGTGGAACTCCCGGGCAACAACACACAATAAAGAAAGAGGTAAAAGACCAAAAGGTAAGAAATAAGGGGACCGACTCACTCTCCAACCAACAGATAGCCTGATTTGATTTCAAATCTCCATAGCTGCTCCATCTTCTCTTCTCTAGTAACTACTTCCCACTAAATTTTATCAATTCTATTTATTTAACTAGTTGTTTTATACTATTCACCACAGAAATGATGATAATAATGGTGGTGATGATGATGGTGGTTCTAATAACAAGTACACTTCCATGTCTGTACTCTTAGAGAGAACTCCTCAAAGTTTATTAGAAACACATTTTTCTCAAGGGCTATTGTTAATCAAAAAATAAATACATAAAAATAATTGACCCCCTATAAATATAGAATTGATATATTTACAAATGAATAAACTAACTGTAATGCAGTCCAGGCTACTGGCCTCAAGGATGGAAATGTAAACAAAATTTTCCCCATATATACCAAACAAATAAATGAGTTTTTCCTTAAGAACAAGCCATACTTTTCTGATTTTATTAAGGTCTGTGCTAAGCCTAGTCACTCAGTTGTGTCCGACTCTGTGACCCGAAGGACTGTAGCCCGCCAGGCTCCTCTGTCCATGGGATTCTCCAGGCAAGAACACTGGAGTGGGTTGCCACGTCCTCCTCCTCCAGGGGATGTTCCCAACCCAGGGATCAAACCTGAGTCTCTTTACATCTCCCGCAAGGGCAGGCAGGTTCTTTACCACTAGCGCCACCTGGGAAGCCCATTAAGGTATATGCTGCAATTCAAATGCATTCTGGTTATGGTGAAACACTGCCCTACCCAAGGAATTTCCAAGAACAGCCCAGCTGCTAGAAACAGCCACTCAGAAATAGTCCCCTCCTAACCCACCTCTACTAGAAGGTGAAAGTGAAAGTGTTAGTCACTCGGTCATGTCCAGCTCTTTGGGGCCCCAGGGGGACTGCAGACCGCCAGGCTCCACTGTCTGTGGGATTCTCCAGACAAGAATGCTGGAGAGGGTAGCCATTCCCTTCTCCAGGGGATCTTTCCGACTCAGGGATCAAACCTGGGTCTCCCACATTTTACGCAGATTCTTTACCATCTGAGCCACCAGGGAAGCTGTCTTTTCTTGGCAGTAACCTCTTGGAGGCCCCCATGAGAAAATGATGAAATAATCAGACCTAAAATGTATTTAATTGCTTGTGTTTAGATGGCAAGAAATAAAATGAATCCTAGGAAGGTCCAGGCCCCATTAATTTAAAAAAGTCCTTCTTGATCTACATATTGTTACAACTGGAGAAATCAGATAAAACAAAGGATGTGAAGACAGAAAGGGAGAAATGTCTTGATCCTTAAGTCCTAACCTTACAGGAAGCATCTGTTCTGAGAGCAATGACTCACAACCCCTGATAACAAAGTTAACATTCTCCTTTGAAACAGGGAGCATGCTTGCAATCGTATTTTCAATGAAACAGCCCCTGAAAGTAGTGCATTTTCTTTCTTTTTCAAAGATCCATTAAGCTCCCAGGATAGTGCTGTCCGCCCCTCTTTAGCCCTGTGTTGTCTGCTGTGACTTGGTATTTCAGTATTTCCTTTAGCCATTATCCTAAGGCCAAGATTTCATCCATTTTCAGAATAAATAGTTCAATAATGAAAGTAGAGGTTGGCCCCCATGTAAATAGTAAACGATGCTTCCGGCATCTTCTTCTTCAATAGTATTTCTACTCACAATATGCACAGCTGTTGTTTATTGAGTGTCTAAAAGGTACTAGATGCTGATTTTAACTTTACACTATCCCCATTTTATACATGAGGACACTGAGGCTCAGAGCACATAAGTAACCGGCCTAAGATCACACAGCTAGTACTAAGACTCAATCTCAGACCTTAAGCACTAACATTTCTTCTCCAAGGACAAAGCCTCCCACTTTCCTGTCTTTCCTATAGAAAACACAAAGTGGCCTGGCCCCTGCATGTGTCACCTCCTCCAGCTCCAAGTTTACCTGCCCAGTCAGTCAACTTCCCAGTGCAGAAAGAATCTCAAATGAAAATAAACTGTGATTTTATCTTATTTCATGATGGTATTAATTTCTCTATGCTGGTAAAGGGTAAACATGTATATAATGAGCTACTGTGGAATCTCATCCACCCTTCATTCTGTGCCCTTAAATTATTCTCTTAAAAGATAACTCTCAACATTATAGGAATTTATGCCTCAGTTTCTGGCCTACGACTAAACCTGTAATCATGCTTCTAGTTAACAGTATTTATAGGTGGGTGGTAGGATTACAGGTGATTTTGGTTTATTTTCTTTACTTACAGTGTTTGCCAGGTTACCAGCACTGAGTATATATTACTCTTTCAATTAGAAAAAATTAAGTGTTGGTTTCATTGTGAAAAAAAAGAGTTTATATATTTAACTCTTTACCCCTCAAAACTATTTTGCCCTTAGTATTGAAAAAGAAGATATTCATTGACCCAATTTAATCCTGGGCCTAGTTAGAACCCAGATTTAAAATAAGAGATGTGGGTTCTTTTACAAATGGCTTCCACTTTTACATTATTTTTCTTTTTTTCTTGTCACTTAAAAAACTAAAACATATTCTATAAAACTAGATTTTAACTACAGTTCTTCTTTTACTTCCCATGGGCCTACTTAGTAAAATCCTCTGCACCCAATAAAGACAGATGGTTACACACAGTTTATATAAACCGTATGCAAATATGGTCTTGTGTCAGACTTTTAACTATGCCCATTCCCTCCTCTGGGCACACACTGTCCTACACTCCCAGATTCCTGTGAAGCTCAGCGTGGTCATGAGAGGAGGGGTAATATGAGCCATGTCCAGGCCTGGCCCACAAGAACCTCCCACAGGAAGAAGTGCACGTTCTTGCCCTACAGACTTCGAAGCCACATACTGAAAAGGACAGAGCCACAAAGAGGACGGAACCTGGGCCTCAGAACCTCCCCCTAGAAGAGAATCCCAGGAACATCACTTTGGACTCCACATAAGTAAAAAACAAAAGTGTATTGTTTAAGCCACTGAAAATGTGGGGCTTCTTCATGACCCTACCTAGCACATGGCTTTATTCAGTCAGTTCAGTTCAGTCGCTCAGTCGTGTCCGACTCTTTGCGACCCCATGAATCGCAGCACGCCAGGCCTCCCTGTCCATCACAAACTCCCAGAGTTTACTCAAACTCATGCCCATCGAGTCGGTGATGCCATCCAGCCATCTCATCCTCTATAGTCCCCTTCTCCTCCGGCCCCCAATCCCTCCCAGCATCAGGGTCTTTTCCACTTCGCATGAGGTGGCCAAAGTACTGGAGTTTCAGCCTCAGCATCAGTCCTTCCAATGAACACCAGGACTGATCTCCTTTAGGATGGACTGGTTGGATCTCCTTGCAGTTCAAGGGACTCTCAAGAGTCTTCTCCAACACCACAGTTCAAAAGCATCAATTCTTCAGTCCTCAGCTTTCTTCACAGTCCAACTCTCACACCCACACATGACCACTGAAAAAACCATAGCCTTGACCAGATGGACCTTTGTTGGCAAAGTAATGTCTCTGCTTTTTAATATGCTATCTAGGTTGTTCATAACTTTCCTTCCAAGGAGTAAGCGTTTTTTAATTTCATGGCTGCAGTCACCATCTGCAGTGATTTTGGAGCCCAAAAAAATAAAGCCTGACACTGTTTCCACTGTCCCCCCATCTATTTCCCATGAGGTGATGGGACCAGATGCCATGATCTTAGTTTTCTGAATGTTAAGCTTTAAGCCAACTTTTTCACTCTCCTCTTTCACTTTCATCAAGAGGCTTTTTAGTTCCTCTTCACTTTCTGCCATAAGGGTGGTGTCATCTGCATACCTGAGGTTATTGATATTTCTTGCACACTCCAATTATTAATGCGGATGTACAGATGTGAGATTTGGACCTTAAAGAATGCTGAGTGCCAAAGAATTGATGCTTTTGAACTGTGGTGCTGGAGAAGACTCTTGAGAGTCCCTCTGACAGCAAGGAGATCAAACCAGTCAATCCTAAAGGAAATCAACCCTGACACTTACTGGAAGGACTGCTGCTGAAGCTGAAGCTCCAATACTTTGGCCACCTGATGCAAAGAGCCAACTCAGTGGAAAAGACCCTGATGCTCGGAAAGATTGAAGGCAGGAGGAGAAGGGGATGACAGAGGATGAGATGGTTGGATGGCATCAACAACTCAATGGGACATGAGTTTGAACTCTGGGAGATAGCGAAGGGCAGACAGTGTGCTGCAGTCCATGGGGTCGCAAAGAGTCAGACATCACCGAGCAACTGAACGACAATTATTACCGCAGAAGGGTGAGACTCTGCTGTGTCTCTTACCTTTTTCAAAGATTCCTTCTGCCTCCAGGACAGAGACGGAGCGGTTCGCCACCGTCTTCATCAGCTCTGCCTTCACGGTGACCTGTGAGGGACTGTGTTCCAGAAGCTCCACCCCAATGGTCACATTTCCTCCTGGCCGGATGATCCCAGGGACTGTCACCAGAAACCTGGGCCTAAACAGTTCCCAACAACAAGAGAAAAATGAAGTTTCTTATCCTTACATCTTCATTCTTTTGAGATCCTCAAATTTCATAGATGGTGAGACAGATTCCCTATACAATGTCAACTGTAACTGCTTCAATTAATGTGGCCCCACTGCTCCATTTAGCAACTGCATTGAAAGGCTGTTGAAAAAATAATCATCCCCCTAAATCAATTTTTGTCCTGTTTTATTGAGATAAAACCGACATACAGCATTGTAAAAGTTTAAGGTGTACAGATAACGATTTAGCTTACACACATTATGAGATGATTATCACAATAAATTTAGAGAAATTCATCATCTCACATAGTAATGAAATTAAAGAAACAGAAAAAATATTTTTTCCTTGTGATCAGAACTCTAAGGATTTACTCTCTTCATAACGTTCATTTATAACATACAGCAGTGTTAGTTATATTTATCATGTTGTACATTCCCATAAATCAATTTTAATGCAGTAATGCATTCACTGCTAGAAGATGGCCTGTGTTAGTATTTCCATTTTATTTCCATTTTATAAACCACAAATAGCACAGGATAGCTTACACTAAGACATGCAGAAGTTATTGGCAAAGTACAAGCCTCTAAACTTCTTTATAGAAGACATCATCCCAGGGTAATTTTTTTTTTCTTGGCTTAAACACACAGGCGCGCGCGAACACGCACGCGCACACACACACACAGACACACATACATACACACATGAATTTTGCTTGTTTCTTATTCAAACCTTTATGTTTGGGCATCTACCCAAGAAAACATCATCTAATCAACATCACTGATTAAAATATGCCATCTGAAATTAAACTATCTGTCGGCGGTGACATTTCCAGGTGGAGCAGACTACAAAAAGTTGCTAAAAGAGCACTTTCTCTGCCCAGACCAGGGATTAGGGCTACAGCGCAAACCCCTCTGAGGGGGAAGGAAGTGCATTCCATTACTTAAGCGTCTCACTGGTTATCTTCCTACGAAGTCTGCACCTGAACCCATACTTAACCACCTCGGCCACACCTTATCATTGCTAAAGTTGAGACATCTCGTTTAGAAAAAATATGCATACATGTCTTTAAAAGAAGGCACATTACTTGGGGGTGGGGGGAGGGTGCAAAAAGTCGAAACAAACTCAGAGGGAGCGTGGACTAAAAATAAAGTCTTCAGAAAGCAGTCCTGGCCGGAGACGCTTAAACAACCTCGTGGATGGAGAAAGTTAACTGTCCCCGGGAGGACCGAGCTGAAGCGACGCAGGCTCAAATCTCCAGGCCGAGGTCCGGCTGGGGACCCCCGCTCCCCGCCCGCCCCGCGCGCCCCGCGCTCCTACCCGGGGACGGCGGCCAGCGCCGCGCTCCACACGCAGAAAAGGCGGGCGGCGGTCACAAGCCTGGGGCCCCGCATCTCGGCGCTGTCTGCGCGGCGGCCGCGGGCTCCCGAGGAAATACGCGGGCCCGCGCGGGGTGTGGCCTCCCACCGCCTCCCGGCTTCGCCCAGACTCCCGGCTCAGCAGTGAGCGCTGGGCGCGCCCGCCGGCCGAGCGAGGACTCCAAACCGAGCCGGGGCGCGGCGACTCCACCCCTCCCGCCGCATCACCGCGGCGCTCGGCGGCGCCCCGGCCGACACCGCAGACCCGGGCGGGAGGCGGGAGGCGCGCGGCCCGCCCGACCTGGCGCGGCCGCCCCGCTCCGCCCTCCCCCCGGCCACCCGGCTCCGCGGGCTGTTTACACGAGCGCTCCGCCGGCGATGCCCGGGGGTCGTAAACAGGCCCCTCCTTGTGCAGAGAAAAATGCACGGCCGCTCTGGGAGGTGGGAAAAAATCAGTCATTGTCCTCCAGACTGTGAGTCAGAATCTCAGAGAAAACGGCAAACACACACCAAACAGGCGTGTATTTGCTGGTAGCCGTTGAATGTGTATGAATCAATAAGCCCGGGAGAAAACTTTTTTTCCCCCTTGAAACAAAATGTCATGTATATAGTTCGCTTCTCCAGGAAAATGTGGGTTTCTCGGTTTTAAAAAAATAAACTAAATGGGAAGAAAATTCTGGCACGTGTGAGAGTGAGGTGCTACTCCCTGAAACCCTAAGAAGCAACCGTGTGGGGAGATGCTTCATACTCTGGGCTGCCGCTGAACACTTCGGCTACAGAAGGTATTCATTAGCACCGTGAAGCTTGGAGCAATTTGTTTAAACGCAGGGTTAGGGCGGCTCTCCTGTCCCCAAGGAAGGCCGGTGGCCCAGGGTGGCCCGCAGTTCCTGAGCCCCAGCTCCTGGGTCCTGGCTTGGCTGCAACTCCTTCCCCGACTCCTTGGCACTCTCACCATCTTCAGATGACTCAGGTTTCACCATGACTACGCCATAAAAGCGGGGAACTGCCAGGAACCGTTGGAAAACGGGCACATTCAGTCCCTGACAACTTCAGGTTTCTAATTCGCGGAGAAAAGCTTCAGATGGTGACCGTTTAATACGGGGCAAAATGCAAAAGGAAAAGAGGTCATCAGAAGGTTGCCTCTTCACAAATCTATGTGCTAAAAACGGGGGAAAGTAGCACCTAGACAAACTGTGGTTTGGGAGTCCAGGAACTTGCTTTCCTCCCTTTCCTGCTCCACCCTTTTTCACCCTGCTGAGCGGCTTGCAGAGGTCCCTATGTCCTCATGGTTCCTACACGCTCCTATCTTTAGTGGCTGACATCCTGTGCAGGCAGGGCTCGGGTGAAGTGAGAAGGGTTGAAGGGGATCATCGGGTACACACTCGGGTCTCCTCACCGCTGTAGTACAGGGTTGAATGAGGGCTCTGTCCCAGCCTCCATCAGTGCTTCTCAGGCTCTAATGTGTATGAAAATCACAGTAAAATGCAAATCCTGATTCAGCCGGTCTGGGACTGAAATTCTACTTCATTTCAGCATACTGTGGGCTACAGAGGGTCTACCGGTAAACTCTGTCTGTGATGAGGAAAGGAAATCGGGAAACTGGAGAAAATTCTTTCCAAGCTTCACTTCAGAAGATGGATCAATCAATTCAGGTTCATTCTAGAGGCAGGCGGATATAAGAAGGACTCCAAAAAATTAGTTGATAATGTTGCATCCCCAGAAGATGTCTAGAAAAGTTTAGAACCACCTTGCTGTTTTATAAAATGAAGTCTGTGCATATTTTAAATGATGTGACCTCCCTGCTCATGCCTTCCTTCTTACAATACACACAAGAAGCTTAACCATGCAGAAATTTGGCCATGTGGATTTGAAGAAATGAGGCACAGACTGGGCTTCCCAGGTGGCGCTCGTGGTAAAGAACCCATCTACCAATACAGGAGACATAAGAGACACAGGTTCAATCCCTGGATTGGGAAGATCCCCTGGAGGCGGGCACAGCAACCCACTCCAGTATCCTTGCCTGGAGAATCCCACGAACAGAGGAACCTGGAGGGCTACAGTCTATCAGGTCACAAAGAGAAAGACAGGACTAAAGCAACTTAGCACGCACACACACATACATTATATATATATATGCACTGAACAAAGATTTGAAGGATATTCATCAAAATGTTATCCATATCCAGGCAATTACCTGGACCTGCCAAACTGTCTACATATAAATATATATATAACTTTAAAAAATAAAACAATAAAAATGATATTGTTTTAGTAAGTAGTCTTTAAGGGAGCATCTTAGAAACTCTTTGGAATAAAATTCATGAATCTTGATACAAAATAAAAATAAGTATGTTTCTCCCATTAAAACTGAATCGCTTTTGGCATAAGAACCTCACACTGTTCGCATATCCCCCCTGACATGTCTTTAGCATGTGGTTCATTGAGAAAAGCAGAATCAATAGGAGACAAATTCTATGCAATTATGGGAGTTTGTGGAGCAGTTGTTGATTCTGCATCTAGGGTTGAGGGAACTCACTCTAAGTCAGCCAGGGGAAAAAAGCTACATGTGAACCACAACAAGGAAACATGAGGGTGAACTGGAACGCATGTGTCTACTAACACCTCCAACTCTGATGTCATGGGTAACCTGCAGAAGAAGCCAGCTAAATATGTACTTGGCCCAGAATTCAGAAAAGCTCAAGGCGGAGACCCCCTGAGAAGCGGAGGACCTTGGGCCCCACAGCCGCCCCACACCCGCCAAGTCAGCTAGCACGGCAGTAACAATCTGGGCTTGTGGCCAAGGCCTAGCGCCCTGCACAGACCTTCAGAGTGAAAACTATAACTTCTGCTTCAAGCTGGGTTCCAAATTCACATAGAGTGTCTCTTGTGGCCAACACCAACTCATAACCATACAGGGAGGGGAATTCTGAGAAATTTAGCTTCATCTTAGATAATCTGGCACAGTACGAAGCTACCAAAGGCCATGCCTCATCCACTTGGCTTCTGAATATACCCATTTTAACCATACTTAACTTCAACAAGAGACAGAAAATTCATGCTTTCCCCCAACATGATGCAACTATCCCTCACAGAACCAAAAATGACCCTTCTTCCAAAAGAGTATACAAAGTCCTTCAACTGTTTTTGGACATTATCGGTGCCTTTTCTAGCTGAATCACATTCTCCCTTTGAGAGCCTGTAACTTTAAACCTAAGGTTTAAGATTAGCTGCTATTAATATATATTAGATGGTAGAAAATTGAAAAGGGAAAGAAAAATATTAGTTTACATATACAATATTAATTAATATTATATTGAATATATATTAAATGGTAGAAAATTGAGAAGGGGAAGAAAAAATTAGTTTATATATACAATATTAATATTATATTAAAAGCAATATTTATATAATACACATATATAGGTTAATATATTAATATGATACTATTAATTATTAACATTAATGTAATAATACAGTGATGGTATATTAATACATACTATATTATTGATTGATATGTTGATACAATAGTAATATTTATTTTATTATATATTACTATATTAATAATATGTTATAATATATTATTATAAATACTAACGATAATAAAAATATTCTATATATTATATTTATATTATAATTTTGCATGGTCAGTCGCTAAGTACTGTCAGGCTCTTTGCAACCCCATGGACTGCAGCCCCAGGTTCCTCTGTCCATGGAGTTTCCCAGGCAAGAATATTGGAGTGGGTTGCTATTTCCTTTTCCAGGGGATCTTCCTGACACAGGAATTGAACCCTCATCTCCTGCTTGGCAGGTAGATTCTTTACCACTGAGCCACCTGGTAATTTTACTAAATAATAATATATATAGTATATATATATATAAATATAAGATATATAAATATTGGTTGCTATTATATATTAACCTATATTTTTCCTTCCCCCTCTCATTTCTCTACCATCTAATGTGTTAGCAGTTAATCTCATACCTCAGGAATGAAGTGTGTGTATGTGTGTGTGTGTGTGTGTGTGTGTGTGTGTGTGTGTGTATATATATATATATATATAAAATACATACGTACATATATATGAAATCGAAAGTGGCTCACTTGTGTCCTACTTTTTGTGATCCCATGCACTAAACAGTCCATGGAATTCTCCAGGCCAGAATACTGAAGTGGGTAGCCTTTCCTTTCTCCAGGGGATCTTCCTAACCCAGGGATCCAACCCAAGGTCTCCCGCACTGCAGGCGGATTCTTTACCAGCTGAACCACAAGGAAAATATGTATATATATACTTTGATATATATAAGAATATATACATGTATATCAAAACAAGAAAGAATTGCAAGTAGCTATTACAGTCTTTATTTCTGCTACTCGCCACAAGCCTGTATTTATAACTAACTTCTTCTACTATCTATACCTCTGCTCTCAGTAATCACCTAGGCTGGCATGGCTCTCTGCATGGTGGAGTGACCTAGATCTTCACTCCTGAAGGGTCTGAAGCATTACCAGTCCTCTGCATATTACATTGTTGTTTTCTATTGATTTTTAACCACAGGACCTGGGGAGACTGAGAGATGCCCCAGGATATCTTCTGCATTCCAGAAATACTCCTTACTTCCACTGTGTAGTGGCAACTCCTCGACAATCAAGAGCATTCAGTCCCTCCAGCCAGTAAAGCAACCGCTTCTGTGGCCACTGTTTTGGCATGAGGAGCCCCAAGTGGCCAGGGTCAGCTGCCAGTCTAACCAAACTGCTGCAGTGTCACCTTGTGGAAACATGCCTCTCTTGGGAACTCAGAACTCTAAACTGGCAGAGTCTGATGTGGAAATAAAAAGCAAAACTTTCAGCAGTGGTCACTAGGGGTAATAGAGGAGCCGCTCTCATTTCCACCCTCTGTTCTCACACCAGTGAGGCTGGTTTCGGGAGAAACACTGAAACATTAGTTACTGATTTACAGAATAGTCTGCATCCTCAAGTCTGTTGTTGATTTTTACACATTCAAATTGTATAAAATTTAAGAAATATTATGTATGAAATGAATGTTTACTTACATTTATCATCTATTTGAGAACTATTTAGATAGACTCCTACACAGAACACCAGAATCTTTCT